TTTCTCTATGTGAATAGAAAATATGAAATATTCTTTCTTTTTCCTACTCAATTTATCATGAGAGTACCATAATAATAAGCTTACCAGATTTGTCCTTCTGAATAGCTTTATCCTCAAAGTAGCAGAACATTACCTGGAAGCGATCAGGATCTGTAGAACGCAGCACCCTGACAAGAGAAATAGCTTTGAGTATCGTTTGCACATCCTAACCCTCCCACCAGAGCCCTGGCACTGTTCTGGTTTGGCTTAAATGACAGCATCTCTGCTATGTACAGGCGCACAACTCCCCTGAACTTCCTACAGGTGGTTTACACCATCTAGCACCACATTCCTATCTTTCTCAATCCAGCAAGCACACCTTTAGTGACATGTCTTGAGGTCACATGAACCAAGACACCTTAATACATGCTGTCTGCACTACTCAGATAGATCTAGTGTGAGTTCCTCATTAACAGGAAGCATACCTATTTCATGATGACACATCATCACTGCCAGAAGGTGACCACACACACAGCATGGCAGAAACACAATGATACACTAGGGAAAGAGAATAACCTACAGTGGAACAGGTGCAGCACAACCACACCGACAGGTCGTGTAAAGGCCGTTTGTGCACATCTGTGTGTACGTGTGTGCCTGTACAAAGGATACTAAAGGGAGAAGTGAGCAAATTAACATCTGCCTTCTGAGTGCTAGGATTAAAGTCATGTGCCACCATGCTCAGCCTCAGACCTGCATTTTTTTGTTTCTTTGCCTTTGGCATATTCTGGTCATTCTTGGGGGTTGGCTTGTTTTCTTTTTTAAAAAAGTTTCATTTACATTTCTATGCATCTGTGTGTGTAGGTGCCTGCAAGGTGAGAAGATCACCTGAGGCTGGAGCTCCAGGAGATTGTAAGCTACTTTATGTAGGTGCTGGGAACCAAATTCAAGTCCTCTGAAGAGCAGCAAGTGCTCTGAACCACTGTGCCATCTCTCCAGCTCCTTTTTCATTTTTTTTGTGACAGGGTTTTGAGTAGCTCAGGCTGATCTCAAACTCATACCAATCCCTCTGCCTTGGCTCCACAATAACTGGGATTTTATTTTTACTTTTATGATAAAAAGAAACCTGTCTGGGTAAAGGTCCCTGCCTCCATGCCTCACAACTGAGTTTGGTCCCTGGGATCCAATGGTAGAAGGAAAGGACTGACGCCTGCAAAGGTTCTGACTTAGCTCAGAACCTCTGCTCCTTGCCTGGCACCCATGTGCCCAGAGTCATAGGCAAATATGAAATAAATAAAGTATAAGAAGACAAAAACAAAAAACCTATAACCTTTAGAGAAAAAGAAGAAAACAAATTTGCGTGCTTAAACGATAGCTCCACTGAAGAGCCATTCAGGGTCTAGGAGTTGAGGTAAGAAAGCAGGGTTTAACAGCATACATTAACCGGCCCCACACCAGCCTTCTAAGAGGCACCCAAATTTTGTAAAGCAAAGCCAGGGTCTTTAAGTGAAAGTAGTGATGCAGGCTGAGATGCTTTTAACTTCTTACACTGGGGTTTCCAAGTTTCCCTAATAACCAGAAGCTGAGAATTGAAGCTTCATTTTTGAATCAGTTTCAGGTTGTTCCTCCATGCTGGCATAGGGTGATGAAGGATCCTGGGGATACTCCCAAGCGCCACACTTGAGGGGTGGGAGACGGTTCTTCTAGTTATGCATTCAGGCATTAAATCCACACTTATATTTGGTTTTCCTTTTAGTTTCTTTTCTCTTTCTCCTTCCTTCCTTCCTTTTTTTAAATGCTCGGATGGAACTGTCACGTGTGAGACAAGAACTCTATACTACCAAGCTATATCCTTAGCTCTCTCCTTTGCTTTTCTGAGAAAAGAAGGGAGGAGCTACAACAACACACTATAGGAGATGGGAATGAGGAATGAGATGATCATTTTTATTACATTAACCATCCAATTTTGTCTTTTTAGATTCATCTCTGTGCTTGTCTGAGTGTGTGTGATGTGCTATGGTGTGTATGTGGAGGTAAGAGGATGATTTTTAGGAATTGGTTTTCTCTTCCTGCCTCGTGTGGTCCAAGGACTGAACTTGTAGTAGCAGGCTTCTTTTACCCCTGAGCCATCTAACTAGCCTTGTTGGTTTTTATTTTTATTTAGTATTTATTTATTTTTGAGACAGGGGCTCTCTATTATATAGCTCTAGCTGTCCTGGAACTCACTCTGTAGACCAGGCTGTCCTGGAACTCACAGAGATCCACCTGCCTCTGCCTCCCGAGTGCTGGGATTAAAGATGTGCGCCCCTTCCAGCAGATGTGTGGGAAGGTGAAGGCTCATGTACCTCATGTATTCCAGCCGATACACAGACAAGAGATAGGTAGACATGGCAAAGTCCAGCTTGTTGATGAGGGCAGAGACCTCGGGAGGAGGATCTAGCAAGTTGCTGATGGTGCTTCGGAGTTCACTCAGCTCAGCCTGGAGGGAGGAAACACTCAGGGGCTCATGAGGCCTCCCCAGAAGGAACCCAAGTGCTTAGTAAGGATGTGGAAGGGATCTGCTCTAATTCCTCTTTGGACAGTCTAAGGAGAGAGAGAAGAGAAGCCTTACAGGGGTGACCGTGTCATTTTTCATGGCCGAGTTGTACTGGAGGACGGATCGCAGCGGCTCTTTGCTGGGAAAGGTGAGCAGAGGTGACTTGGTAGCTATTTCACAGACTCCCTCATACCACTCTTCCGGCCAGAGTCCTGCAAGAGAGTGGGTGTGAGTAAGACAAGGGCTGGAACAGACCAGGAGGCCACCCGACTGACAGGCATGGGGCCGGTGGGGTGAGAAAGAGGAGAAAGGAAAGGAGAGGGAGAGGAGAGGAGGGGACAGAGGGAGAGAGAATGAGAATTTATAAGACTATCGAGCACCTAGTTAAAGAAGTCTTACATTGGTATTGACTCTGGCAATTTCTAGTCTTGGGACCCCTAAGACAACTGTCCATAATAGGACACAGAACAATTGTCTACCCAACTGTCTACAGTCATGTGGCACACACAGTGGGAAGTGTCTGTTTGTAAATACCCCTGGGAACAAGCGGCTACATGTGGGCTCAGATCAGATGTACTCAGGCTCTGGAGTGGATGGGTCTGACCTAGCTGTTTCCACTGCACACTCAGCTTTCTCTGGGAGACACCACTCCCTACCTGAGCCCTCTACAGCGAACCCCATCAGTACAGAGTACAGCCAGAAGTCCCGGAAAAGCTTCTGTAGCCTGGGTTTAGCTTCTTTGATGGGTGGCAGCCGTCGGGTGAGCTGATGTGAGAGGAAGGGAGAAAGGTTATTTGTTAGTAAAACTTCAAGTGTAAAATCAAGCACACATTCTCCAAGAGCCCCATCCCAGCCTTACAGCCAGAATGGGTGCAAACAGGTGCAATGAGCAGTGATCTTCTCAATCACTCTCCGATTCTAGGTTCATTCCCTCACTGGTTATATGGAATGCTTACTCTGAGCCAGGCACTGTGCATGGAGTTCACTCAAAGGGCATTCTATCTAACTGGGAGGGAAACAATTCCAGTTCCTGGAAGTGTCATTATGGGTCTTCACACAAAGCATGGCCAGGCAGAGAACAGAGAGGAAGCATCAGTTGCTAAAGAAGCCTCAGGCCCCAAGGCTGGGAGCTGGGACTGGGAGGGCCCTCAGAGAAGACATCACAATGGGAGCAGTAGACTTTCCAGCACATGACTCTTTCAAGCAGTAATCTTGGGCAGAATTTCCATTGGTAGTGAGAGCAGACTGGCTTGAGCGCAGGTGTGAGAAGTCAAATTCCCTGAGCTCTTGCTTGAGAAAGCAGCCTGCCTGCTCTGGAGGCCACAGTTGCGTGGGAGTTACAGAAAGTGGTTACTCTGAACAAACCACTCCATGGAGCACACGGATCCCATAGAGTGATGAGATCTAGTCCTCTACACTAGTAGGGTGGGGCTACAAGAGCTAGTTTCAAGACAGGAACCAAAAGCTACAGAGAAACCCTGTCTCGAAAAATCCAAAAAAAAAAAAAAAAAAAAAAAAAGCTAACATGAGCTACATAAGCTCTGTCTTGAAAACTAATTGTTTTCTATGATCACCTGTTTGTATAGGCAGAACTCAGTGTCAAGTAAAATATGCAAAATATACAATGCAGATTTCATATATATATATATATATTTGGGTTTTTTTGAGACAGGGTTTCTCTGTGTAGCCCCAGCTGTCCTGGAACTCATTATGTAGACCAGGCTAACCTCAAACTCAAAGAGATCCACTTGCCCCTACCTCCCAAGTGCTGGGATTAAGGGCATGTGCCACCATACCCGGCTCTCAATACATATATATACACACATACATATATAATGCATTATATATACATATTTCAAATACACTTTAATATAAATGTATGAGGACAGAACAAAGATGGGGAAAAAATCCTCAGGTTCCTGGAAGCAATTACTTCTGAGCAGGTGAGTAGTCAAGGATTTCTGTTCTTCTCTTTTGAGACTATTTCCTGGGATTCTGTCGGAAACATCTCTCTAAAGTACAGGGAGGGCACAGGTGCCGGTCTGGAGCTCAGCAGCCCATGTGGCAGAGGGTCTGGCCTCTCCCTTAGAACTACCAGGGTACTGTGGCCTGGGAAGAGTTGGTTTAGGGCAGACTTTGGAGGTGGTACGGAAATGGGGAATGCAACAGTAGATGGAGGAGTCACAGAGCAGGAAGCAGGCTGCAAACACTAGCCACCAAGGGCAATGACAAAGTGCTTCCAGCTTGACCAGTGGCCACGGGTGTAAGTGGCTGTGTGACTGACTGGTGAGAGGTGATAAGGTTCTGGGGGAGGAGGAAGCCCAAATGGGGATCCAGATAGCAGACTTCAAGGTGAATGCTGCTAAGAGTGCCTGGTAGTAGGTGAGTTTGAGGCCAGCTTGGTCTACACAGTGAGTTCCGGACAGGCAGGACATAGTAAGACCTTGTCTCAAAACTAACTAACTAACTAACTAACTAACTAACTAACTAACCAACCTTCATGTGGCAGAGAAGCCCGGCACAGTTTGACAGGTAAGAGAAAGCCATCAAACTTTCTGTGGTTTGGCCGGGCGGTGGTGGCGCATGCCTTTAATCCCAGCACTTGGGAAGCAAAGGCAGGCAGATCTCTGTGAGTTCGAGACTAGCCTGGTCTACAGAGCTAGTTCCAGAACAGGCTCCAAAACCACAGAGAAATCCTGTCTCGAAAAACCAAAAAAACAAAACAAAAAACCCCCCAACTTTCTGTGGTTTGGTCTCCTCCTCTTCCCTGACCTCCTTGGCCATGGGTGATCCCTATCCCTCATTTCTCCTGGTTCACTGGTTATTACTTCAGCTAAGACTGCTCTAGTGCCCAGGAAGGGAAGAGGGGTATCTTTGAGGGGAAGCAGTAGTTCTTTGCTATATCCTAAGATAAAGACAAAGCATCATGGCAGGTTAGGGGAAGGCAATACTCCATGCTTCAAGAAAGATAGGGAGGATCTGGGGCATCCTAGAAAAGGCCCCCTAACATAGGACAGGTAAGGGCTACTAAATAGAAGACCTGCTTATGCTTAAAAATAAATCAAATTCCTAGGATAAGTGGGAGAGAAATATCAAGAAATCCAGAGTCATGACAGACAAGTGCAAAAATCGTTGAACCACTTCTAGGTGTTTCTGCTATCCCTGTTTTCTATCTCCACAAGAGTGCTGGGGTTACAAACATGTGATCCAATTCCAGAGCCTGAATTGGACCCTCAGGCTTGAGAAGAGAGTGCTACTCACTGAGATATCCCCACATTCCACTCTCTAAACAACGGCTGTAGGGGCTGGAGAGCTAGCACTGCAGTTACGAGCACTTGCTGCTCTTCCAAGGGAGTGGATTTGATTTCCAGCACCCATATGGAAGCTAGCACAAGTCAGGAACTTCAGGTCCAGAGGAAATCTGATGCCCTCTTCTGGTCTCCATGGGCATTGCATGCTTGTGGTACACAGGCAAAATACCCCCACACACAAAAATTATTTTTTTAAAAATAAAGAAAAGCTTTAATGGTCATTTCAACAGATTTATTTATGCTTATGTGTGTGGCATTGCATTTATAGGCACCGTGTGCAAGCAGGTACCTTTGGGGGCCATAGAGTATTGGACCCCTGTAGCAATTCTGCTCCCAGAACACTGAACAAATATGCTTAGCTTCAGCAAGATATCCTGCAGACATGCTGAGAGTAACATCCAAAACCTCAGCGACAGAGGAACTGTAGTTTGGAAGCAGCTTGTCACCAGGCAGTGATCAAAGACATAGTTGAAAGGTTTTCTGCTGACAGAGCTAGTTGAGTAGTGTTTGAATTGGAGCATATTTGCTTTGGAAAATACACAACAGCCCAGCACCAAAGTTCACGCTGAACCCTGCTGGTGGCCCTTCCTGATTTCATCTCTGTAACGCCGCTGCTCAGAGGCACACAGGTAAGCTGGGTTTCTAACATTTTTTTCCAATTATATTTTTTTGTTTTTAATATTTCAAGGTAGGAAACTTATTCCTTTACTAGAAAAAAAAGAAAGCAGTCTTACTTTTAAAGTCCAGTATAAAATTCTATCAGCTGTACCAGTGGCACAACTGACCAAACTGGAACTGGAATTATAGAGACAAGAGAATTAGATCTTTGGTACTGTAAGCTGGAAGTTGGGCATGGTGGCATAAGGCTGAACTCCAGCACTTGAGGGGTCGAGGCCAGACGACGGGCTTGCAGCCCTGTATACCTATCACCGGAGGGCAAAAAAGAAAAAAATTTCTTTTCAAATTAGATAAGTGTCTAATGAGTAAGTATGAGAATAGCCTTGTTCTTAGGACGTTTTCCCAAGCATTATTAAAGGTTAGAGAAATGTTAAGAGATCTAACTTGAAAAGGCTCAGAAAATACTTGTAGATGCTGATACATACACACACCACATCTCACACATACATGTAAAATCCAGTGACAGTAAAGGGGCGCCAGCTGCTCTCCTACTCTGTCCTTAGTTCTTCTGTAAGTTTGAAGTTATTTTAACATAAAAAGGTTTCCCAGCACTTGGGAGGCAGAGGCAAGTAGAGCTCTATGAGTCTGAGGCCAGCCTGGTCTATAGAGCAAGTTCCAGGATAGCCAGGGCTACACAGAGAAACCCTATATCAAAAAAAACCTTTCCATATTACTGGCAACTACTTTTCTCCCTTCCTGTTTGTTCTGGTCTGGATCTGGAGACATCAAGGCTAGAGAGGCTGTTCTCTATGACACATGATCAAAAAGGCCAGGTCTACTCCATGTACCTCATAAAAATTGCTAAATGATGTTCCTATGAAAACAAAGTTTTGATGATTTATCTTAAAACTATAATACTTTAATTCAAAGATAGTAATTTGAATGTATATACAATTTAGAGGTGTTTTTAAATGCTTTAATGAAACTGACCAGAAAAAAATAGAAAGTTACCTGTTAGAGCTCTAATTTTTCAATGCATAAAAAATACCCTTACATTTTTCTTATTTTGCTAGTAAGAGAATAATGGAAATTATGGCTTACAGCTTTTGAACATACAATGCAGGAACAGGGTACATGATGCTTAACCCCCTACACCAAACCAAACAGTCTTCCAAGAGTACCCTGAGTACCAGGAGAGGATGAAGATCTTTACTGCATGGCTGGGACTAGGCTCCCAAGCCCACACTAATTCAAGTTGGCTTCTGCTTTGATCTTTAACATTTTTATTACTAATTACTCTTTTAGCTGAGGATACTTTGTTTTGTTTTTTGAGACAGGGTTTCTCCGTAGCTTTGGGGCCTGTCGTGGAACTAGCTCTTGTAGACCAGGCTGGCCTTTAACTCACAGAGATCCGCCTGCCTCTGCCTCCCGAGTGCTGGGATTAAAGGCGCGTGCCACCACTGCCTGGCCGAGCTCAGGATACTTTTAAGTATAATCATACAAAAGACTTCCATTAAGTTGCTTCTGTTTTTTTTTCTTTTTTTGTAAAGATTTATTTTTATTTGTGTTTATGCATTTGCCTGTTCAAGTGTGTACCAGTGTGTACAGATGGCCAGAAGGGTATCAGAATTCTATGGATCTGGAGTTAGAGATGGGTGTGAGCCACCCAACTTGAGGGCTGGGATCTGACTGAGTCTTTCATTCCTCTGAAGAGCAAGAAGCACACTGCTGAGCCACCTCTCTAGCCCTGCTCTTCTTTAACTATGAGCTTCCTGTTCATGCCTGATTCTATCTTGAAACTAGGTCCAGTTCTATTTGACTACATACATTAGACTCCATTTCTAGAAACTGTTCCACATGTGCGGACTATGTAGCCACCAATCTCAGCAAAACACTGAAGAGGATCAGAAAAGACCAGACATAGTCAAAGTCAGAAACCAGCCGGGTGGGAGTTCGAGACCAGCCTGGTCTATAAGAGCTGGTTCCAGGACAGGCTCCAAAACCACAGAGAAACCCTGTCTCGAAAAAACAAAAAAACAAAACAAAACAAATCAAAGTCAGAAACCATGTGACTCTCCAAAATAAGCAATCAGAAGTCTTCTGGTTGGATGTAGTTCAGTTGGTAGAGTGCCGGACTAGTGCTGACAAACCCTGTTTCATCCTCGGTACTGTATGGAACAGGTCTGGTCGCACAGACCTAGAACTAAGGAGGTGGAGGCAAAGGATCAGAAATGTAAGGTCACCCTCGGCTAAATGGGGTTTTCAACTAGCCTGAGATACATAATGCATTTTTAAAAAAAGTTCCTCAGTTATGACTAAAAATGCTGGAAATGCTAATTTTAACCATATTCTAGGGCATAGGCCCTAAGGACAAAGATGGCAACAGTTGCTCCCTAGAGTAGGTAGTTTTGAGTGTCCTGGCACTCTGAGCAAGCAAGGCAGAGCTTGACATCAGGGAGCTGGAGCTTTACCTGCTCAAGGCTAGTCATTCTCTAATCATCATTACCTACCATCCATCAGTTTTGGCACTAGGGATTGAGCCCTGGTCCATGCAGTGTGGGTGAGAGTAGTTAACATTTAGCTACATCCATAACTCAGACCACTGCCATCTCTTAGTAGTAGCAAAAGAAGGCTACATCTCATAACAGATTAAAATGGCAGGAGTATTTCAAGTTGGGCAACTGCACAGCTAGTCCTTAACTGTCTTCAGACCTAACAAGTTCAAATACTTAGGCGCCAGTAACTCTTATTTGATCTAGACTGGCAACAGATATTCTAAACAAGGAAATGGTCACAGACACCAAACAGATCTTTTTCCTAGGAAGATACACTTAGCTGGTGAGATAGGGGAGCAACAAAAGACAGGTCATGTACCTACTTAATAACTGAGATATGAAAAACCAAATCAAAGCCACTGGACAGAAAAATCGGATTTGACATGTCACAGCCTCCTTGGGGACAAGGCAAGGGCTGTGCAGACAAGGACAAGAAGAGGGTCTATACAAGAGATCTCGCTTGTCTACAGACCTTTAGGAAGGGTGAGCCTCTGATGTCACCCACCCCCACCCTGTCTGCACAGTGAGATGGGAAGCTGGAAGAAGAAAGATGTTTTTCTTCTGACAGCAAAGTTCTCCTACAGCCAGTCACATAAGCCGTTAGCCTCTCAGAGTGCCAGGAGACACGGGTCCCCAGCCACAATCCTTTAGTAGGTCCTAAGGGGGTCCTGCTAGGTTCCAGATCTCAAACAACTTAACTTAAAGAAGGGATCTCAGGTCGGGATTCTCAGCTCAGCAGGTAAAGGTGTTTGTTGGGCAAACATGGCTACCAGAGTTTGTTCTCCAGAACTCACATAAGGTGGAAGGAGAAAACAATCTCCACCCAAACATCTGACTGTAGCATGCATGTTTACATGTGTGTCTGTACACACACATAAAAATAATAATAAAAATTGGGTTGATAAGATGGTTCAGCAGGGAAAGGTGCCTGCTACTAAGGCTGATGACCTGAGTTCAATCCCTGGGACCCACAAGGTAGAAGGAGTGACTTCTAAAAGTTGTCATATGACCTCCACAAATGTAATATGGCAAACCTGCCCACCCACACAAATAAATAAACAAACAAATACAAAAAGTTCTAAAAAAATTTTCATCTAGGGCAGGAGTTCTCAACCCTGCATATCAGATATTCATAACTCACAGCAGAAGCACAATTACAGTTATGATGCACCGATGAAATCATTTCATGGTTGTGGTCACAGCCTGAGGAACTGTATTAAAGGGTCACAGTATTAGGAAGGTTGAGAACCACTGGTCTAGGGGCTCACAGATCCCAGGAGATGTATGAAACACACAAAACTTTAACACTAGTTGTATGTTTATTTCTTATCAGAGTCTCTTAAATTTTAGCATCCTAGGCTGGTGTAAGAACTGGTGCTGTGACAGGCCTCTTTCTGGATGCTCCAGCAGGATGGAGCTAGGCTGCTCTCACTGTTGTCTGTTTTCTATACCAGCTTTAGCTCTGCAAAGATGAAGCCTCCATTCTACCCTCTTCTTCTTTCCGCCATCATGACTGTGTGTGTTGGGAGCCAAGGCCTTTCTGAGCAGCTAGGTAAAGAAAACATGAGCATGTCCTTCCTGCCTGCTAACTTCCACAAAGAAAACACAGTCACCAATGACTGGATTCCAGAGGGGGAGGAGGAGGAGGACTACCTGGACCTGGAGAAGCTACTCAGTGAAGACGACGACTACATTTACATCATTGATGCAGTTTCCCCGACAGACGCAGAATCAAGTGATGGGAATATCCTGCAGCTTTTCCAAGGCAAGAGTCGGATCCAGCGTCTTAATATCCTCAATGCAAAGTTTGCCTTCAACCTTTACCGAGTCCTGAAGGACCAGGCTACCACTTCTGATAACATCTTCATTGCACCTGTTGGCATTTCTACTGCTATGGGGATGCTTTCCTTAGGCTTGAGGGGAGAGACCCATGAGGAAGTACACTCAGTTCTACACTTTAAAGACTTTGTCAATGCTAGCAGCAAGTATGAGATTGCTACCATTCACAATCTCTTTCGGAAGCTGACCCATCGCCTGTTCAGGAGGAACTTTGGGTACACGCTCCAGTCAGTTAATGACCTTTATATTCAGAAGCAGTTTCCCATCCAGGAGGACTTCAAAGCTGGTATGAGAGAGTTTTACTTTGCCGAGGCCCAGGTGGCTGACTTCTCAGATCCTGCCTTCATATCAAAGGCAAACAACCACATTTTGAAGCTCACCAAGGGCCTCATAAAAGAAGCTCTGGAGAATATAGATTCTGCTACTCAGATGATGATTCTGAACTGCATCTACTTCAAAGGTAAGAAGCAATTTTATGATTTCCAAAGGAAACCCACAACACAGCTGTCTGGTACACAAAAAGACCAAGAACTGTACGTTAGCTGTAATTTATGATGGAAAATAAGACACTTGGCCGACTCAAGGGCAGGGAAGAACACAATGAGTGGTAGCTATTATTAATATTAACAGCTTATCATTTTACACTCACTGGATTTCTATGTGGTAGGGATTGTGGTGTTAAGAGTTATCAGGATCCTTTTTTACAGACAAATCCAGCAAAGCATAGAGGTAAAATGCCCCAAGGCGGCGCAAGCCTTTAATCCCAGTACTTGGGAAGCAGAGGCAGTGAATCTCAGTGAGTTGGAGGTCAGCCTGGTCTACAAAGTGAGTTCCAGGACAGCCAGGGCTACACAGAGAAACTCTGTCTTGAAAAACCAAAAATCACCACCCCCCCCCCCCAAAAAAGATGCCCCAAGAGTACAGACTGTAGGGCAGTGTTCAGGATGGATCTCTGTGAGCTATCTCTGATGATTTATTTATTTTAATTAATTAATTAAAAACTGATGATTTATAAATTGGAAGAAATAATATAAGCCCCCCCCCCTCGTTTTTAAGTATTTGGTCAGTGTGGATTAAGATTTCTTCGTTTTCCTTCCCAATTATCAGTGAGTAGAAATACAGACAAAAAGCTAGAGAAATACGTCTGGAAACTGTTCAGCTACAATAATTCCTAGAAACACAACTTCTTCTCAGGGTACTTTTTGTTTTCTGAGACAGGGTCCCCCTAATATAGACTTGGCTAGTCTAGAACCTGCTGTGTAGACTAGGCTGGCCTGCTAGGATCAAGGGCATGTGCCACCACAACCAGCTCTCTCAGGGGACTTTTGCATTAACTTTGTTCCTCTTTTGTTTTTTTGCCCTTTGTGACAGTCAGTTCTCTCCCCTCTATACTGTAGTCTCTGTGATGGAAACCAATCGGCAGGACCGGCAGCAGACATCTTTGGCTGGGCCATCTTTCTGGTTCTAAATAATGGTTCTCCAGCAACTCTTAGCGGCCAGGCATGAAAGCACTTTTAAAGAGTGCACTATCTCCCACTCAACACAAATGTACATGTGCATGTGTGTATCTACACAATAAGACCCAACTCAAGCACATGTATGTGTCTACACAATAAGACCCAACTCAAGCACATCTGTGTGTATCTACACAATAAGACCCAACTCAAGCACATCTGTGTGTATCTACATAATAAGACCCAACTCAAAAAGTATTTTTTAAAAAAGGGTCTTGCTATGTAGACAGGATGACCTAGAATTCAAGACCCTCCTGCTTTAATTCCTACAATGCTGGGGCTACAGGCAAAATCCAAACCTCTTTTGGAATCTGATCAAAATAAACTTGTACCTACTTAAGCTGAAGGCAGTCACAGGGATGGCTTAGCACCACAGCTAACGGCAGTACTGTAGCCACATTTCTTTGTCATCACTGAGTTCAAGACACTGGTAAAGGCATAGGTGCTGGAAAGCCTACACTTCCTATTTGTTCACCCCAGTGGTTGTGCTGCTCGGGGATTTGGAGGACAGGAACTTTCCCAGTTCTGCAAAAATAGGAATCCTGCCAGGCTGGGCTGCTAAGCAGCACTACAGAGGCCAAGACTTCAGGGGGCTTGGGAGTGCTGAGATCTAACCCCCAGATTTCCTTCCAGAGCCAGGCACAGCATTCAAGTTTCAAGGAGGGTACTGCTAAAGGCTAAATCTCTAACAAGCCGTGACCACAGGCAGATATTCAAACATATAGTACATATTTATGATGAAAATGTTCTTTTCCATTATTGGTTCTAAGTACAAGTTTTGGAACTGAGCAAACAAGAGTCTAAATGGTAGTTTCACCCCTCCTCATTTGTGACCCCTGTCTTCATGGGAGGGTCAGCCCTACTCTGACAGGGCGCAGAGAATGGAAACAATGCAGCACTCAGTCCTGTAAACAGGAAGAGCACAATGAACTTGAAAGAGGGTATATATACAGCATAGTTCAATATGACGAGGCGTATGTATGATATTGCAGGTAATGTTTATTTTCACAAGTGATCAGGCTCTGCTTGGGAATGGCTTCAGAACAGGCTGGTGGGAATGCCCTCAGTGTTCATAGTCGGCTGGTTGCCCACAGCCTCGACACTAATCAGTCATACCTGAAATTCTGAACCAAGAGGCTGTGCTGTCTGCACTAGAACAGGCGGGAATACGGGACAGACTAGACATGATCATATCATCTCTTAAGTAACTAATCCACAGTACACTGAGGTGCCAAAGTGCTTTTCCCGGATGTGTTGGAACACTGACTGGACTCTGTTAGGGATCAGAGGGGGCATATTTTTGTTTATTTGTTTTGTTTTGTTTTGTTTTGCTGTTGGCTTTTTCCCAGTAGCTATGTCATGGAACTCTATAGACCAGGTTGGGCTTGAACTCAGAGGTCCTCCTGCCTCTGCCTCCCAGTGCTGGGATTAAAGGCGTGCGCCACCACTGCTCAGCTATTTGTTTTTTGAGACAGGGTTTCTCTGTGCAGCCCTAGCTGTCCTGGAACTCACTCTGTAGACCAGGCTGGCCTTGAACTCACTGACTGCCTTGGCCTGCCTCTGCCTTTGGAGTGCTAGCTGAGAAGGATGCACTTTAAAGGTTAGAAAATTTCATAAGTATAATTTTGTTTCTAATCCTCAAATCTCTTAACTTAACTCTGTGCTATAACTGCTTTGTTAGTGCTTCTTCTCATAGCGGCTGGCAGAGCAGTGATTTCCAATGGGTCTGGAGCGGTGTCTGCAGGCACTAGTGACTATCACAACTAAAGCTGGTATCGCACTGGGAGAGCCTAAGAATGCTGTTAAAGTCTCAGAGCACTGACAGTCCCCACACTATACAGAATGATTTGGTTTAGAAACCCTGGGTGTGGCTGACTTGGAGGTAGCAGCTGAGGGGCAACTATAAGCAGGCCAGAGCTGTCTGCTGTTTAAACTTCCTCCAGAGATCCCTGGTTTTCTCAATGCAGCTGCTCTATATACCAGAGGGAAACCTTGAACAAGTTACCTTACTTCATTGTGTCTCTGCTACCTTATCTAAAAGTATGTGTGGAAATTTAAACCATGTATTTCATATAGCTTCTAGGAGCTGGAAATGAGGTAATACAAGAAATGCGCTTATGCCTGGCATGTGGCCTGTTGGAACTAGTTACCAACATTAATGATGAGTATCTTGGAGCTAAGATTTATTTCTGAATAATAGCTCTATACCAAGCCGACATGGAAGACCCTGAGGACACCACTCTATCAGATTCGTGTCCTGCCAAATGCTAGAGAACCATAGTGTGAGGGCTCAAAGGGTTACTCGCCTTCCAAATAATTAGATTACAGGCCCAGGCGAACTAAGTATCTGTCAGGGACAAATAAGTAAATTTTTCTTGTTAAGACTCTGGGTGTTAGTTCTAGAGAGCCCTCCAAGGGCACATGTTCAAGAGCAAAGGCCACATTCTGAAGGGACATTCCTTTTGACTTCACAGGAACTTGGGTGAATAAATTCCCAGTGGAAATGACACACAACCACAACTTCCGGCTCAATGAGCGAGAGGTAGTTAAAGTCTCCATGATGCAGACTAAAGGGAACTTCCTTGCGGCAAATGACCAGGAGCTGGACTGTGACATTCTCCAGTTGGAGTATGTAGGGGATGTCAGCATGCTAATTGTTATCCCACGCAAGCTCTCAGGAATGAAGACTCTTGAAGCGCAGCTGACGCCCCAGGTAGTAGAGAGATGGCAAAAAAGCATGACAAACAGGTACTTCAGGTCATTTGTTCTTTTGCTTTCTCAGGCTGGGGTATCTAGGAGTACTGAAGCCATGGCTAATTTTTATCCCCTCCCTCCGTCCCTCCCTCCTTCTCTTCTGAGTCAGGGTTTCACTCTGTAGTGCAGATTGGCCTGGTACTCATTATGTAGTGCAGATGGGCCTAAAAGGGGCAGTGGCCCTCCTTCCTTATCACCTGACCAGCGTCAGGAATGTGACCTCCCTACTCAGTTTCTCCAGCGTCAGGAGTGTGACCTCCCTACTCAGTTTCTCCAGTTTTTGTTTGTTTGTTTTTAAAGGAAGTTCGCAAAAGAACCCAAAAATTGCCACACAGGCCTTGCTTATTTCAGCCTGAATTTCTTGTTCAGTGGGAACACTAATGAGAAAGCCACAAAACTGTCTCAGAAGGCAGGGACAGGTAGCTGCAGGTCATCTTAGGAACAGCCTCCATCTACTTACTATACCACACGTGTGGCTCTGAGCCCCAGTGCAGTCAACCCCAAGGTGCAACTAACCATATTACTTATCAGGACTCAAGGGGAGCAGTAAACACAGCAGTGGGTTGACTGCTCCCACCCCCAGCCCCTGCTCTCAGTGCCTAGAATGTAAGAGGCTCCCAGCACAGATATCACTCTCCTTTTCTGCCAGGAAATCGCAAGTTCTTTTTAACTCACTTAAGACTTGTCACTCATGATATTCTTTGATCTTTATTTATTATTTATAGTCGAAACTACTGATGTTAAACACTTGAAGTTATTGGATAATGGCAAAAAGAATCTAGAGAAATGGGATATATTTCTGTGTTACTAGATAATTAATTACTGGTTAGGCTCATAATAAGATGTGAAATCTGTTGGTCAAGAAATAAAAAAATACAGCAAAAGTGAAAATACTGCTGGGTATAGTAGTGCACCCCTGTAATCCAGCACTGAAAATATTGCTGGGTACAGTAGTACACCCCTGTAATCCAGCAATGGGGAAGCTGAGGCAGGAAATCATGAGTCAGGAAGGGTGAGACCCTGTTTCAAAACCACAAGCCAGCGAGATGGATCAGTAGGTAAAGGTGCTTACTGCCAAGCCTAACTACCTGAGTTCAATTCCTGGGACCCACATGGTGGAAGGAGAGAAGAGACACCTGAAAGCTGTCCTTTTCTGACCTCTATACACATAACACATACCCTGGGCAATATGCATGCATGCATAAAATATGTAAATAAGTATAATAAAAATTAAAGCAAAATAAAAACCCTAAAATAGAAAACCTTAGAAGCCGATTCTTGGAGGAAGGTAGATTTCTCAGGTATATGATGATAGTAAGCCCTGTGGATTTCCTTAAAAATGTCCCTTCTGTACTTAATTCCTGTACCATCCTTCTCTTTGGTGGCATCCTCTCTGAAGTCAGTGAGGCCAAGCCACCCTGAGTTCTGTCCCTCGTCCAGCACAGCATGTCCATCCCCTCACTCTCTCCCTCACTGTGGACTCCTAACACGAGGAGCCTGGCTAGATTCTAGCTGATCGCAGTTTGCCCTCCCTGGTTGGCTCTGTTTAGCATCTTTCCTTTTTCCCTCCCTTGGCCTGTCCCTTTATGCTTCAGTCAGATCCAAGGCCTTCATGTTTCTTACATATAAAACGGTCTAACACCTATCGATATCCTGTGCATCCTGCCCCCACAAAGTCACCTCTGCCTTCCTTGTTATACCTAAGACATTTCTACTATGCTGCTTACAGAACGATGAGAACAAAACTCTGGACATTGTACAGGTGCAGTGTTCCCTGGTACCGGAGTCTGTGTCTGTGACACTCATTGATAGAAGGGCTGTGACTGGACCTATGGTGGATGGCTTTTCCCAACCCTCGACTGACAGTACCAATATATACATTTTAAATGTCAAGAGATGCTATGTTAGTTCTGTGGTAAATATACTTCACTGCAGGCCAATTCAATTTAGCAGGGGAAATGTAATTATTTTGTCATTTGTATCCATAAAATTGGCGCCCTTCTTTTCCAACTAGAACTCGAGAGGTACTTCTGCCCAAGTTTAAGCTTGAGAAGAACTACAACCTGGTGGAGGTGCTTAAGTCCATGGGAATCACAAAGCTGTTTAGCAAGAATGGCAACATGTCAGGCATCTCAGACCAGAGGATCACCATTGATCTGGTAATGGCTCCCTCTTGTGTATTAGTTCCCAGATCCTGCCTGGCACTGTTGCTGCCTCTTTCTCCAACCTCCTGGTAGGCCTGTGACCCAAACTTTAAAGATACAGGGGGCTGGGTGGCTATTTTGGCTCCTAAGCCTCTCAGCCTCTGGACATGGCCAATACAATGTAGTTCCACTGTTTAAAGGTAAGTATATATGATGTGACAGAGACTCTTGCCACCATTACCATGTGCTCAAAAACCTTTTAAGGGTCATTTTGACTAGATGTGATTTGTGTCTTATGTAAGGTCTCTGGAACTTTTCTCTGATGATGAGTCTTTTTTTTTTTTCTCCCCACAAGACAGGGTTTCTCTGTGTAACAGCCTTAGCTGTCCTGAAACTAGCTCTTGTAAACCAGGCTGGCCTCAAACTGACTGAGGCCTGCCTCTGCCTCCCAAGTGCTGGGATTAAAGGTGTGCACCACTGCCCGGCCTGATGATGAGTCTTAATCAGGTGCTCCATCCCACCCCATCCCCACCTCTCATGACAACCTGCACCACTGATACCTTTCCTTTCTGCTTTTACACAGTTTAAGCACCAAAGTACCATCACGGTGAACGAAGAGGGCACGCAAGCTGCAGCTGTAACCACGGTGGGGTTCATGCCGCTGTCTACCCAAGTCCGGTTCACTGTTGACCGTCCTTTCCTGTTTTTAGTATATGAGCACCGAACCAGCTGCCTGCTCTTCATGGGGAGAGTGGCCAACCCCACCAGGTCTTAACGGTGGTGGTCTGGGCACCTGATGTAGTTTGGTCTAACAAAGAGGACAGAGATATTTTGATATGATAACTTATGTGGTTTATGATAATATCTGAACTTAAGGCCCACATAGGAGAAGAAAGTTACCAGGGACTAAGAAGCTGACACAGCAAACAACACTACAAGATCACAGAAATTAATGTGCTAACTCTAGGGCCAGCTGTTCCCCAGAGGTCTTAGCAACATATGTACTGCCTCAGCCCCCACTCCTGGCCCCTATGAGCAAACTGCCAGGGTGTATGTAATACTTTCTCTGCAGGTAGCTTCATCAATGTTATCATTCAAGGTTAAAAAGAGAAAACTCAACCAGCCCCCATCTAAATGCTATTCAGGAGGTTTCACCCCTTCCAGGGAGGATGCCCAAGCAGTACAACTCCTGCCCAGTGGAAAAATAACCTCAACACACCTGAGATGCTGAGACTTAATTCAAGGCCCAACCTCCTAAATTCATGTGACCATCTCCTCTCCCGCTGCCTCATGGTTACCTAGGTGTGTACACAAGGTTACAGATTCATTCTAGAGATAAATAAACAGCTATATTTACTGTGTATCTGTTACAATTATCTTTTAAAAAGGAGGGTGGTGGTGTTTCACTATGTAGCCTTGGCTGGACTGGAACTTGCTAGGTAGACCAAGCTGGTCTTGACTGCATAAAGATCTGCCTACTTCTGCCTTCTAGTGCTGGGATCCCTAACGCCATGTGCCATAACACCCAGTATAAGTCTATTATTTTGCACCTCAAATAACAAGGGGCAAGTTGGAAAACACCCTTAAGAAAGACAAAGGTGGACAGAAAGTTACTCAAGTGTTATGCAGTGACTAGTTTTGGATAAAGAGGTGTGTGGCTGAGTCCTTGGTACCAGTCTGATGGGAGACCTGAGACAAGATGCTCTAGTGTCTATACGAGGTGCATGCTTTAACTTTCATCTCTCAGATGTAGCCCTGCAGCAGGTCTGGTCTGATAAAGTTGGCAACATCCAAGGAATACGACTTGGTACCATTCACAGCGCTCCAAAGGCTGCTCAGAAAGCATGGGTCAAGATGTGCTTTCGGTGGGGAGACTGGAAGCTGTAACAGGAGCAGCAGCCACAAGCTTTGTGCTAACTAACTGTAAATCCCACACCTTAGAGGAAGAAGTTTTATTTCCCAACAATGCAAGAGTTGGAAGGGTTCTAAAACATGTACAAAATACAGCTACAAGGTGGGGCTGGGGTCCAAGGCTAGGCTTGCTGGACTTGAGGGTCTGGTTACAGAGTACTCTGACCACATGAAACAATAATAGCAATAGGAACAGCTGAGAGGATCATGCTACTTCTAGTGTAATGTATGAAATAGTGTGTAATGTACATACTATATGCTCGATGCTGCTGGTTTTGGAGGTCACATTATCACCACCTCCTCTTGACGGTTGAGGAAGCAATGGCAACTTACAGAAGAAGAGTAACTTGATGAGACCTAGATCCAACCCCAGGTAGGAAGGCTCCAGGGCCTGGACTCCTTGCTAACTATCTTACACCTGGACCAGCATTCTATTGAGAATAAGACAGGACAGGACTGAGGCAAAATCTCCCCACTGCATCTTTTCAGTTCTTGGTGAAGCCTGAATGATGATGGCCCATCACTTTTCCCCTCCAATTTGTTTTAACACTGTTCTTTTCTGGTGTTTGTTTTATATATTTTATCTTGCTGGTATTTTTTCTCAACTCCTTACATTTCTAATTGCAGTTATTTCAAAATTGTGCCCTAAAAAGATGGGTGGATATGTCCCTGTAATCCTAGTTATTTCAGAGGTTGAGGTTAAGAGGATTGGTTAAACCTACAAGTTAGAGCCAGGACGATAAGGTGAAATCCTGTCTCAAAACAAACACCACCCCCTACTTCATATCTTTAGCCTTTGTCATGTGTCATTTTCCCAGAAAACTCCACGGTCTCACTTCCCATCCCTACCTCAGTCATATGTGGCCTAGGTTGCTCCAGGCTCCTGCACAGGTGGGATCCTCTCATCTCCAGGGTCCCTAATTACTTCCATTTACTTAGAATCCCTACAGTCCCTCTTAAATACACTAGCCTGCCGTTTCTCAAAGCAGGAGAGGACTAACTATAGCACAGGCTCTGGGGCAAGCTTCCTGGACGCAAACCCTATGCCTAACAGCTATGAGATGTTGAGCAGGTTTTATACCTCACTATGCTTACTTGTAAAATGCAAATAAAAGCAGCAGTGGTCTCACAGGGTCGTTGTGAGGTGGTAATACCCGGACAAGGTCTAGACCAGGGATAAGCATTTCTTGTCTAGTCTAAGAACCTTACCAAGGGGCTCCGAACTTAGAGGCTCTGGACAGTCTTTTCATGAGACACACATGAACACAGATGTATTTCTGTAGAAAAGAAGTATAAAACTTACAAAAGTGCATATGACCTAGAAAAGGTATAACCTATCTAAGTCCACAAAAACTACCTGAGGTGCCGGGCGATGGTGGCGCACGCCTTTAATCCCAGCACTCGGGGGCAGAGGCAGGCAGATCTCTGGGAGTTCGAGACCAGCCTGGTCTATAGAGCTAGTTCCAGGATAGGCTCCAAAGCCACAGAGAAACCCTGTCTCGAAAAAACAAAAAACAAAAAACAAAAAAAAAAAAAAAAGAAAAAAAAAACTACCTGAGGTGAAGATGAACCCGCTCTCAGTGAGACACAGGAATATTTCCTGGGAAGATGGTACATCTTAATCAGCCACTATATTCTGAGTATATGAGGTGTCTAAGTGACAGAGAGTCTTCAAAATGCTTAAGTGTGGGATATATAGCAGCAAAAGCAATGAAAAAAATAAGTTTGCAAAGTTAGAAGATAAAGATCACCTAACTAAGCAGGAAGGGACCCCACAACCACATGACCCAGCTTCACAGCAACTGGAGCGCTCCAGTTTCAGGGGGTTCCTGGGTGCTGACAGATGTATTAAAGAGCAAGAGCCAAGCCTTTTGCTTCAAATTAACCAGCCCTTTTGAATCATTAAAAGTCTAAAACAGAGTATGTATTTCTCTTTGAAAAACAAGTAACAACAAAACAGTACAAAACATTAAATATTAAAGAAACACCTAAACAAAACAAAAAACCCCACACCACCTTTGGAAATCAATTTCTTTCAGAAGGTACAAGAGGTCAGTAAAAAGCAAATGTAAAAACTCATGATCCTTTGGCTCTCTGTTGAGCAAGAAGATCAAATATTTGTTTCCTCCCCCGTAATATAACCATTAACTTTTGTTAAAAATACAAGTCTCCAGGAAGCCCACACCCAGGTTTGGGCATGTTCTTTTGCCATTAAGTGTGTGCCTGGATGCCTGGCTATATTTCTGTGTCTCCTTTTTTAACACCATTCTGAAATCTACATTGAATCTCTGTCTTTTCTTTCTTTCTTTTTCTTTTTTTAAAGATTTATTTATTTATTTATTATGTATACAGTGTTCTGCCTGCGTGCCAGAAGAGGGCACCAGATCTCATTACAGATGGTTGTGGGTGCTGGGACTACAACTCAGGACCTCTGGAAGAGCAACCAGTGCTCTTAACCGCTGAGCCATCTCTCTAGCCCTGGAACCTTTTTCTTAACCCCAATTAGAAGTGATAATATTCAGCCAGGTGGTGGTAGCTCATGCCTTTACTCCCAGCACTTCTGTATACCTATGGGCTTTGCTGACTTCTTTTCAACAGGCTGAGAAAGTACCCACCGGGGCTTCATGCTCCTCACCTTTCTCTCTAGGCCAAACAGAAGGCGTACGTGTGAGAGCATGCATAGAGCCACAGCTTGACTTCTGCTGCAGGCAGTCTAACCCAGAGCCTTGCATGTACCAACTAAACCCTATTATTGAGTAAGCCTTCAGTCCACAAAGACACTTCAAAACATGATTGTATGTTGGATAACATTAATGACAAAGTGGGAGAATTTGTTTTAAAAAAATAGTCAGTAGGGGAAATACCATTATAGAACGGCTCTTGCAATCCTAAAAATCTGTTTTGTTTTTATTTTTGTTTAAAATGTGTATGGATGTTTTGCCTACATATATATCTTTGTACCATGTGTGTGCCTAGTACCATGGAGGTCAGGAGAGGGTCTCAGATACCCTAAAACTTAAGTTCAGATGGTTGTGAGCCACACCATGTGGGTTTTTTAAATTAAACCCAGCTCCTCTGGAAGAGTAACAAGTGCTCTTAACCACTGGGCATCTCTCCAGCCCCTGTGTAAATCTGTAAGAGCAGTGAGAACCAGTGATGGCAAGTCCCAAGGTGTTAAGGTGTTCAGGAGGAACATGCACCCTTAGGGTTCATTGCACTGCTTCCTTAAGCATCCTCATGGGATGAAATGTCCTAGTACAGACATAGTCTTCATTCACTATCAACATAAACTCACAGGAGGAACGGTCAGTAAACGAGTGTGTAGGTAAAAAGATGGCCTATGTATATGTGGGATACTACACAAAATGTATAAATTTTTACTATTTTTTTTAATATTTATTTATTTATTTGTTATGTATACAATATTCTGTCTGTGTGTATGTCTGCAGGCCAGAAGAGGGCACCAGACCTCATTACAGATGGTTGTGAGCCACCATGTGGTTGCCGGGAATTGAACTCAGGACCTTTGGAAGAGCAGGCAATGCTCTTAACCTCTGAGCCATCTCTCCAGCCCCCTGAATTTTTACTATTAAAGAACAATAATAATAACCTGCCTAGAAGTCCCAAGGTTTAAAGAACACCCAAGATAAGCACACGAACCACTTCACTACGATGAGGAGAGATAAATCTGATATGGTGTATGCCTGCAATCTTAGTACCTGAAAGGCCGAGGCAGACCTGCCAAGTTCAAGGCTAGCCTGGAGTACTCAGAGAGTTCTAGAGTACCCCAGGCTACATAGCAAGATCCCCACCCCCATCGTCCGGACACATACCCCTCCACTTGCCTGTCCAACTATCTTGTCCTTAGCACCCTCAGCGCTCACACTTTTAAGACCTGAACTATGGCACGACATGAGGCGAGAACAAGAGAGGGATAAAAATATGAGAACACAAGGCCCCAGGACTGCTCCGGGGAATGACTGACTAAGAGTGCGGAAAACCTTCACAGAGGTTATTTGCAGAAACTAAGTGTAGTGGCTTACACCTTTAATCCCAGCACCCAGGAGGCAGAGGAAGGCGGATCTCTGTGAGTTTGAAATCAGCCTGGTCTACAGAATAAGTTCCAGCCCAACCAAAGTTACACCATAACACCTTATCTTTATTATTTTTATATAAACTTTTTATTTTTTGCAGAGCAGTGGACACAGCATAAAACAGGACTGGATAACGATGGGCTCTCTAGCACAGCTGTATCTAATCAGGAAGCAGCCCCCTTCTCACAGGAGAAAGCCAAGGAAGGAGACAAAGCAGCAGTGAAGGACAGGGCATGATGCAGAATAAGCAGGGCCAGACCTCAGTGCCATGCAAAAGGAACTGGAGTGAGGAAGTCTGGGCACAGACAGAGTTATCCCTATAGGTTGTCACTCAAAGTTGTTGGTGACTGAGACAA